CACCCCAATGCTTGATGCTGGCTACGCAGTGACATTTTCAGTCGTCACTTGATGACAATTTCAAAGCTAATTTTCCTTTACAACAACGTTTTGTTGTCAAGCCCATGCAATAAGCAATTGCTGTGAAGTGGGAATCCAAGAAGTTCTTATGAAAATTCCATCGTTCTCACAATCATCACTTGAAAGTGATGAAAATATCATTCACGATTAGTCTTAAGGAGGCAGTCTCGTCCCTGTTCCCTTTTTAGGGGGTTTCCCCCCTCTTTTGATGGCGATGATTTTTTAAATATACCTCTCAGAGGCAAACGTTAAAAACCAAATGAAAGAACGGAATTTTTAAAACGTTTCCAAAAAAGATATTTTGTTTTGTCTGTAGTTGTAAGGGAGTATGGTTAAGTAATGCAACAAAAGCCGGCAAAACATACAAAATTTCACTGCGCGACATTTTTATCCTGAAGTTCTTAACTCTTTCGGCAATTGGTTTTCGGCATTTTGAAGATAAAAAAAAATAGCTTTTACTTTGGTCTACAACTATCCCTATAGCCCAAGGAAAACCATTATTAAACCAATACCGAAGTTTGAAGATATGTTTGGATACGTTTATAAAAAACGTTTTCCTTGGGCTATAGGGATGATTGTAGTCCAAGTAAAGACCGTTTTTGTCTTCAAACTGCCGCAAACCGATTGCCAAAAAAGTAAGAACTTCCAAAGAAAACTGTCGCGCAGTGAAATTTTGTTTGTTTTGCCGGCTTTTGTTGCATTACCTGTAACTCCCTTACAACTTAAAAACAAAACAAAATTATTTTTTTTTTTTTGAAAATGGAAAAATTCCTTTTTTCATTTGGTTTTGACCGTTTCTCTCTAAGAGGTATATTTAAAAAATCATCGCCATGAAGAGAGGGGGAAACCCCTTAAAAAGGGTTCAGGGACGAGACTGCTCCCTTAAGAGGATATGGTACACCTCCCCAGAAGCGGCATTTCCAGGGACGCGCAGGGACCTCTTTCTAACGCCGTCCTGGCCACACCGTTCGAGGTATCGATATGAAACTTGACACACGGGCTCAGAAGGGATCAATCTCAATGACGGTGCGTCCAAAAATTTTTTTGAACGCCTAAGTTAGGCCCCAGGGCAGTCCAGTTCTGGTCCAACTTTCGTTCACAACAAGTCCTAAGAAAATAGGAATATCCAAAAAAGGGCCACGGCACGTTGTAGCTGCAACTTTGCTCTATCCAGAGAACTTGTCCCCATCTGCGTGCGGTCAAAAATAGAGATCAAAACCTGGTAGACGGCGGACCTCTGCACGGCGGATTTGAACATCTTGCGAAGTTTTGAAAAGGCACTGTCGCAGACGAGCTCTACTAACCCCGCCTCCCCCCGCCCATCCCTCCGGGCGACCCGCCTGCAGCCCGCTGCTTTGTCTCTGCGCCGGGCCCCCCGCTGGCCCCCTCCTCATTCACGCGCCGGAGCCGAGGGTCGGCAGCGTGACGGCTCGATTTATGGCCTTGTACTCCGAGAGTTAAATTTTTGAACGGATGACTCTAGACTCTCAGGACATGAACCATTGCACTCAGCGCGTGTTCCTTGTGCCAGGCGAATCAAATTTTAATTTTCTACGATAATTTTGACCTTTGTCATTGTTTCAACAGGTCCGGGTCAAATGGTCGTAGAAACTGAAATTTTAGTTGCCTGTCACCAGAATAGCACGCCAAACATCTTCGTACAAGTTTCAAAACTAGAAAATGTCCCCTTTTAAAAGTTTGGCCGTACAGCCTAGAGCCATAAATCGACCTGTCACGGTGCCGAACCTCTCGGGTGAGGGTGGGCAGCCCGACAGTCCCCATTCAGTGAAACAAAGTCGGCGACATCATGTGCGGGGCTTGGAGACGGTACAGCTCGTCGGCACAAATATTGCACCTCCTCTCTCCGACTAGCTCCAAACCGGCCGTGCAGAGGTCCGCCGTCTACCAGGTTTTGATCTCTATTTTTGACCGCACGCAGATGGGGACAAGTTCTCTGGATAGAGCAAAGTTGCAGCTACAACGTGCCGTGGCCCTTTTTTGGATATTCCTATTTTCTTAGGACTTGTTGTGAACGAAAGTTGGACCAGAACTGGACTGCCCTGGGGCCTAACTTAGGCGTTCAAAAAAAATTTTGGACGCACCGTCATTGAGATTGATCCCTTCTGAGCCCGTGTGTCAAGTTTCATATCGATACCTCGAACGGTGTGGCCAGGACGGCGTTAGAAAGAGGTCCCTGCGCGTCCCTGGAAATGCCGCTTCTGGGGAGGTGTACCATATCCTCTTAAACTGCCAACAAATATGCGCAGTGTAGGAACAGAACGATGGTACGCAATCTGGTCAAGTTAAGCAACATACATGTATGCTTAGTGCAATTGGCAATTGGCACTCGCTCCCGCCGTCACTTAGCGTAACATAACGTATGGGCATGTCAAATTTAAACGTACGTGACTGTACATTCGTTTGGATGTGACACAACATATGTTAGCGGGTACTACGAGTAACATTGGTTCAAGTGTCACTCTCGTAGAATGTGACAAAGCGATGCGGTGTGTCACATTCGTTGTACGTGTGACACGATCAAACTGGCACTCGCATTGCAGTTTTCACGTGCAATACGTATGTGATGTCACATTCATTGGCGAGTAGTGTGCCCCTGAATTGGTGACGTCCCAGAGCAGGAGTCAGGAGAACAGGATCGGAAGTAACAACAGTTTTTCGAGATGCACTAGGACATAAAATGTGTATTTAGTACACAGTTGTGGGCGTGTACTTAGAAGCACACACCTGTGAGTGTGCGCTGGAGTGTGGTTGGACAAGCACACCGCTGTTTGAGCGTAGGGGTATGGGCTCCTTGCTCCGTAAGAAAGAACACTGTTAAAAAAAATTACTGAAAAGTCATAATTTTTTGTAAGAAGTCGATTTACTTACATTCAGTCTGAATTTTCATACCAAAACTTTCATACTTCGCGGTCTGAAAGTTTCAGACGACATTAGTCTGAATTTTCAGATCAACATGTTGTATGAAAAATGATACCAGTCCGTCTATTTTATCAGACTAAGTTGTACGAAGAATATGAACAGTCGCACTAAACAATGCCACTCTGTAGAGTAGAGCTCTAATCGGCGAACTTTTGCCATCGGTTTATCGCAGACGCTCAGCGGATCGTCCCAGCTCAAAAATTAAGTGCACGGCAGCAGGCTCCTTCTTGCAAAGGAAGTGAAGAGGCTAGAGGTGACTGCTGAATTGCGAGAGAGAGCGGCCTTAGCCCAACCACGCACCGACCCGTGGCCATGCGCGAGAGTGAAATTGTATTCTTTGTTATTTAGCTTATACTGCACTTAGTAACCTGAATCTTGCTTTGGTGCGCTCATGCTTTTTTAGACAATCACTTGGAATAAGTTTGTAACAAAATATTCGCGATTTCACCTTCAAGAGGCAATTTTAGCTCCAAAAGATCATCCATGCGACACTAGCGCCACCTCGCGGATGGAGCAATAAGTGTCCATTTCGGAGCTCTGAAACATTCTCTATGCTTTTACGGCACTAAACGTTTGAAATACAACAGTAGTATTGATAAAAGTTCTGAGAAAATCGAAAAACGTACAAAGGGGACGGTTTTTTTTCACTCGTTTTCCGATTTCACAAGTATGAATTTAGTTTTCGGACGACAATGTACAAAACTTGATAGCCATCGCTCTAAATATTCAGACTAGCTAGTCTAAATTCAAATTTCAGACATCAGGTCACACTTTTCAGACAGTTGGTCTTAATATTCGTACCATTTTATGAATTTACGATTTAGACCACCAAGTGAGACGAAATCAGTCTGAATTTTCATATATTTTTTAACAGTGAAGATGGCGGCGAGGTGGCGGAGCGTAGTGGCGTCCCACAACAAGCAGAAAGCTCGGCTGATGTCCTGGCGGCGTCCGCTGAGCAAATTACTTTTTTACAATCAACTAGGGTAAAAACAAGTCTAATCCGCCTTAGTCGACCTGGGCGGGACGGAACGCCGCCAGGACATCAGCCGAGCTTTCTGCTTGTTGTGGGACGCCACTACGCTCCGCCACCTCGCTGCCATCTTCTTTCTTACGGAGCAAGGAACCCATTCACTCCGAGAAATCGTATACAGACTTCTCGGTTTTCCGCTCTATTACAGGAATTTTACACGAGAATTACGGCATGGATATGCCAAAATTTGGAACATTTTACCGTTAAACGGCTACGCTCACGTGTATCACGCGGAATACACAGTTTCTGTGTATACAGTACTACGCGAGTGTCTACCCACTCGTGTTTCAGTGTGCTTTCAGATCGGTGAGAGAGGTGTGCTAGGCCAAGCACAATCCTATAGGTGCGTGCCTGTCTAAGCGTACTTGCATCATCAACTCCAGTTTTAGGTGTACTACAGGAAAAGTTTTCTTAAAAAGGGGGAATTCTGTAACTGATACAACAGAAAAGACTAAGTAAACCTTGCTAACCAGTAAGGCCTTGAAAAGAAACATGGCATATTATAACAACATATTTCGATCAAACATAAATGTGATTCTTAAGAAAAAAAAACTTAAAAGTTTACAAGCTATTTCTTCGTCTTAGAGACGACACTTAAGTCCTCTGTAATACAACACAATAACCTTCAGTTATGTCGTTAAATAACATCAGTTCTGCTTTGTGTCTGAACGGGAAATCCATCCATAGACAACAATTTTGTTTCGTTAACAACTCCCTCGTCAACAGTTTCATTTAAGACAGCACCACTTGCAAATGCTTGTAATATAACAAAATGTGTTGCTATCATTACCCTCAACAGCTCCTAACCTTAACAGCATAACTGGTTAATTTACAACACTTTTAACAGTGGCACCTTACGTTCGTGTGCTTTAAGTACTTCGTGAAGTTTTAAGCGTGTGGTTAAGAAGATACACTGTCCCGTTCTGTGACAGTTTGGTAAATCTTGGCTCCTTTGTATTTTCTGCAGCCCATCTTCTGAACACTGCAGCCCGCGCCCGGAGAAACCCCATCCTTCTCTGCAGTCCTCGCCGTCCCCACCATGCAGGCCGAGGTCGTCGTCGACTTGGCAGTGCAGGCGGCCGAGGCGGCGCTGCGGGTGGAGCGCCTCCAGCTGCGGGTGGCCAAGTTGGCTGTGGACGCGGCCAGGACCCAGGTCCGGCTGGCGGAGCGTCGCAGGGACGACGCCGTGGGGCGCAGCGAGCAGCGCGACGGCTGCGGATCTGGGGTGAGTCGCCACCGCAATGTCTGCGGAGAAATTCCCATGACACGAAGGAAATGGCGCAAGCATTGCACGAAGGGGTTTTCTTCGTGTTAAGAAGGTTTTTCTGTGCATTCGCCGCAAGTACAATACAAAGCAATTTATGAGCATTAGTACGCAAAGCTTGTTTGCACAAAATTGTGTGAGACTACAACCAAAATTTGCACGAATAAATATTGTGTGTCAATACTGGGATTCAGGGAATGTGACGATCATGTCACGTTCCTTTGAATACTGTGTCACATTCGTTTAAACGTGAATCGGCTGGCCCCGGGCCTGGACGAGGCTGGTTCACGTTTAAACGGATGTGACACAGTATTCACATGCACTGTTAAAAATAGTTGTTTTAAAACAACAACACAGTTACCAACCTCGACAACGCTGTTGTTTGTGAACAAGTTTGCTTGTTTTGAAACGACGAATTCGTTGCTAATTATTTTAATGACTTATGCTGTTTCAAAACAATATTTTGCTGCGTACAAACAACCCGGACAATCTAAGAAGTGGTTACTGCGGGGTAACTGGGAATCTACTAGGTCTGTGACCTAATCGGCAATAAAAAGTGATGCAAATAAGGCTGTCTATCGGTTTACAAACATCTTGTGGACGAACGACGCAACTCGTTAGTAAACAACAAAAGTCATTTGAAAACAACTTTGATCGCTAAGAAAATTAGCAACATATTTACTGCTAAATTACAACATAATTTTTAACAGTGTGGTATTCGAACGAACGTGACACGATTCACGTTTAAACGAACGTGACGTCACATTTCCTGATTTTCAGTGAAGTGACTTGGCGTGTAGTGCATTAAAATGGCAGCATGCGCCTGACGGGATTTCCTCTGTCTGCGCGGCGCGCTCAGGACGCGTCGCCGTCGTCCCCTGCCGCCAAGAAGCGGAAGGCGTGGCCCTCCCCCGGAGCCGAAGTGGAAGTGGAGGCCCGGGAAAGGTTGGCGGCGCTGCAGGCCCAAGAGGCGGTGCTGGAGGCGGAGGCGGAGGCAGCGACGGGCCGCGTGCTGGAGCTGCAGCGACACCTGGACCTGCACGAACTGCCGGCTGCGTCGTCCCAGAGCGCTCCCCACTGCATGGAAATGGAGGTGAGTTTCAGTCGCCGCCGAGACCGAACCGGTAGGAATGTGGAGATGTGTCAGAATTGAACCGAATGTATGGGGTTTACTCTACCAACTGAGGACACTAGAATTTATGGAGTAGGTGTGGCATCGACGATAGCGTGGCAGGAGGACCGATATTGTTCTTGTGCACTGAGATGTAACCCTGGTGCCTGTCCTAACACTCTGGTGTTTATGAATTGCCATCCCCAATATTTTGCTGACAGTAAGAGTACCTCCTTAGGGTCCTTTGATGGCAGTATGGCCAAAAGTAAAATGGCATATTTTGGGAATAAAAAAAACCGTTAGTCAAAACGTTCTTTTTGGGTAAAGCTTGAGGTCACAAACTTGTTTTTGACTGTATTACGTTGCCATCAGTGGTTTAAACTCATGTGAGCGCCGAAAGACACAGCGCCGTAATTTCATTTGAAATTTCAATAAATCACCACGGCCAAAGTCCTGAATATTTTTCAAAAAAATGTGTAGGAGTGTTCCTTGGGTGCAAGGCTACTACGACAGAAAAAATTGGGTGTCTTCCATTTGAATGGAAAGTGCTTAGTCACAACAATCCTGTAGTCACAACAATCCTGTGCAGAGTGACCTGACATTTAGGATGCTACTTAAAACTATAAGTGAGCTTTTTGAACTAGTTATCATTCATTTACTTAGTTTTCCCTGCATCAATGGAGTGTGAACTTTGCCGTGATTTCCCACCCCGTGACCGTCCGTGCGTTCGGCGCAGATGGCGGCGCTGCCCGAGGACGAGCTGCTGCAGGTGCTGAGCTACCTGAGTCCCGGGGAGCTGTTGCAGTGCAGGCAGGTCTGCCGCCGGTGGCGGGACTTGGCGCTGCACCCGGACCTGTGGCGAAGCAAGAGCTTGGACGCCGAGTGAGTATTTGGCACCTGAGCGAAATCTCTAAAATATGGCTATGTATATCCACCCCAAACTCTCATCATATGCTGGGTAAAAAGGAAGCTGCCTGTAAATTAAAAACGTAAAAGACTGACTGTCTTAAGCAGTTGGTCAAAAATATTGCAGAAAATGTTTTTCATTTCTGCTCTTGGTTTTAAGACGGGTTTGTACTGAGTTTTCCTTACGCTAATACGAGATTTCTTACGCTCTTACAAAATTCTTACGCTTAAACGAAAATTCCATCGAGTTACATAGGGGCATTTGCCATGCTCTACGCTTTGACAAGCCCTTACGCTACGCAGAATGGCTACAACGGGCGGTTGGTTTTAAGCCTTAATCCAACAGGATGTATTTTTTAGCGCAACAGGCCCTTACGCTATGACAAGTTCGCGTTTTTGAAATTTTGAAAGGGTACACTCTGAAGGTGCCACGAAAAAATTTTGAGACATCTCTGATGAATGGATTCTTTGTAATAATAACGCTTTGAATTTTGACTCCTAACCTAACCCAAAACCAGGCCGTTTTCGGACCCTTTTTCATTGGCATAATGTAAGGGTGGTAAGAATGATCTCACTCTCTCTCGCGCGTGATACTGTCAAGAGTGCAGACTACTTGAAAAACTTGAAAAAATTCAATTGGTCTGGTTTGGCGGCAGGGGCTCGCTGACAAAAATGATCCATTGTTGGTACCTCGATCCATGTTCCCTAATTCAGCTCAGCACAGATAATTTCATGTACCTACTTAGCTCTTGTTTTGAGCCTTTTCAATAAACTACAATAATTTAAAGAAGGAAGACGAATTTGGAATTGGAGGTAATGCAACGGACATAATAACACACTACTTGTGAATTAGGGCGTATGTACAGTCTTTAAATCCTCCCCAGCATTACTAACCATGTGTGTCGTTTTATTTTAAGCTCCGCCAGCTTGGTCGCTGCTGCACTACGTCTAGCCCCCTGCCTTGACCACCTCTACATGTGTGGTTCGGAAAGCATGGCTCTTCTTGGCGTTCTGCTTAGCTCCACGAGGTGTGCCGTTTCCCAGCTCTACATCAGGGTCCATCCAGCTGACGCAGTTCTCGCTGCAGTGGTGATCAGCAGGTGGGAACAAGGTTCAGGCAGCGGGTGGAAACTCGCTAGGTGGGGCTGGGACCGGGTCGGGATCGGTCCGCTCGGGGCGCCACGGCCAGCAGACGAACTTGTCGCCCCGCATCGGTACCTTATTTTAAAGAAATGTACCCTAAATCGAAACATTTGGAGTCATATTCGGGTATCAAAATCAAGGTCATTGTCTAAAGAATGCATCTGAAGCATAGTTTTCTCTTTATAATCGAAATAGAAATAAGGGAGGTGATGAAAATGCGATGGCTCGGTCGCGGGAAACGCTACCACCAGATTTTGTAACACTTAGTTTTCAATGTTAGAGCCCTCGGAGGCCATACATGTAAGCGAGCCGATTTTTCCTTACAAAATTTCGCTCGGCGTAGGATACATTTCCTTTTGATTGGACTCACCTTGCAAGAAATATCCCACATAATAGTTGATGCGACGGAATGGTGTCTGCTTGTACTTCTCACTTCAACTCGATAAATAGAATACAAACCACTCGAATCAAAGCTGCATATCTGGCCTAATGCACGGCAAATTTAATGTAGATTCATTTTGCACACGCGGCTTTGGGAAATAAGGTCGGATTTCTTTACATTAAGTGGATTAAAAACACCAGACGCAAAGAGGCTGAAATGACCACTTTTACGGTCTCTACTAATGTGAGAAATCCGACCCGTCTAGACACACGCGAGTTCTTGAGAACAAATCTTCAAACATGCCGTCGTGCATTTTGTTTAAAGGTTTTCGCACGAAACTAACCTCAAATTATACAATATGAATTCTAAAATACTGCAGCGTCAAACACCGTTGAAAGCGTCGTCGGCCCGTGTCGTCTGGACCGGAGGACGGGACAGACTATGGCAAATTCACCGCTCGGCACAGTTTTGTTTCCATTTTGTGACAGTTGCACCTGCCGACATGTTGGCTGCTCGGGTAGCGCGTGTTGCTTTCATTGACTTCCACACTAACCTCCTGAGGAGAATCCATGCTCTCAAAATCAACCAAATGCAATGCCCAATCGTGGAACTGTGAAAAGTAAACAAACGGTGCCGAGCGGTGAATTTGCCATAGTCTGTCCCGTCCTCCGGTCCAGACGACACGGGCCGACGACGCTTTCAACGGTGTTTGACGCTGCAGTATTTTAGAATTCATATTGTATAATTTGAGGTTAGTTTCGAGCGAAAACCTTTAAACAAAATGCACGACGGCATGTTTGAAGATTTGTTCTCAAGAACTCGCGTGTGTCTAGACGGGTCGGATTTCTCACATTAGTAGAGACCGTAAAAGTGGTCATTTCAGCCTCTTTGCGTCTGGTGTTTTTAATCCACTTAATGTAAAGAAATCCGACCTTATTTCCCAAAGCCGCGTGTGCAAAATGAATCTACATTAAATTTGCCGTGCATTAGGCCAGATATGCAGCTTTGATTCGAGTGGTTTGTATTCTATTTATCGAGTTGAAGTGAGAAGTACAAGCAGACACCATTCCGTCGCATCAACTATTATGTGGGATATTTCTTGCAAGGTGAGTCCAATCAAAAGGAAATGTATCCTACGCCGAGCGAAATTTTGTAAGGAAAAATCGGCTCGCTTACATGTATGGCCTCCGAGGGCTCTAACATTGAAAACTAGGTGTTACAAAATCTGGTGGTAGCGTTTCCCGCGACCGAGCCATCGCATTTTCATCACCTCCCTTATTTCTATTTCGATTATAAAGAGAAAACTATGCTTCAGATGCATTCTTTAGACAATGACCTTGATTTTGATACCCGAATATGACTCCAAATGTTTCGATTTAGGGTACATTTCTTTAAAATAAGGTACCGATGCGGGGCGACAAGTTCGTCTGCTGGCCGTGGCGCCCCGAGCGGACCGATCCCGACCCGGTCCCAGCCCCACCTAGCGAGTTTCCACCCGCTGGTTCAGGGCAGCTCCGCAAACAATGGCACTCTCAGTCCCATGTGGACTTTTTTATTCCCTTGCTTATAAAGTGAAAACAGCAGACGTAAATTCTTCTATTTTGTCTTAAGCTATGCACAAGTTTGATCGTTTTTAAGACCAATTTGTCAATAGATCATGAATTATTTAAAAAGTACATTGCAGTTGACAAAATTCAGGGTAAATGAACTGAATACCTTAGAAGATGAACAGAAATGCGCGAAGCTAGCTTGAAGGGAAAATAGTACATTACGGTTGCACAAAAAACTTTTTGGCATTTGAGAAGAAGTTATTTCGAGTCTGAGAGTGTGTGTGCATGGTACCCTGTTCTAAACTGTGTGCCTCAATGCACACTGATCTCAACTGTGTTAAAACTCAGTGCCCAGGACTCGTGCAGTCACAGGCTCCACCACATGACGCTGATCATATTTTTGCGCAGGCAAGCTGCCCTGGGACGACTGCGTTGCGTCCGACTGTCGCTCGTATCAGACGATTTGAATGAAGAGACCGCCTTCCTCAGACTGCAGCGTCTTCAAGAAAGCCTTCTCTACACTCCTGGTATAAATACATTCAACGCTCCAGCAAATTTCGGCTCCCTTGAATCTTTTTCTCGGAAGCACACTCAAAAACCCTTTGAGAAGTATTCTCTGGCAATGTATTGCAAACTCTCTTACAAACTTCCTCCTTTGCATTGCGAAACTTTGCAACTAGCAAAGAAAATGCTTTGCAACGTAACAAACCAGTGCTTCGCAACTTTACAGACTGCTTTGCATGTTTGCTTCAGAAGATAGGTCCGGGTTGATTATACTGTAATAGGATTCACTCACATCGTGAGCAGACAAAAATATTGACCATTAGTGCATTGTGATAAAGAACTCTGTTTACATTAAGGAGTCGAAATTGTGTCAAAAGCGACATGTTTGTTTACTTGTCTAGGATTGGAGCTGTTGGAGCTTTCCTTCGACGAAGGCACTGCGAACATCATGAAGACGAGAGCGCCTGTTATCCATTCAACGAGCAGCGACCTGCCAGTCCCGGCATCCCTGCAGGTGTTGGAGTATATGTTGGAGTTCACAGATACCTACCTGCCCCTCCACCTTGAGTGGCATGCGTCAACTCTAGAGGTAAAGACACTGAAAATGGGCGAGATTTCCACTGTAGCTCAGTTCTTCACGCTTAAGGAGGCTCATACATTTTAAAAGCACTTTGTAAAAACATTATTTTTTTGTAGAAGGATCAAGATTTTGTGATTTCTGTACTAAAACCTTCCTAGATAATTGAGTAGGCCTCATTTTGGCATTAGTTAAAGTGACTTTGGACACTTTTTGGAAACTTAGTAGGAAAGTTTAAAATTTTGGTTCCCTTAAGATTTTCTTCGCATTACTTGCTCAGATCTGGGGAAAAAATCAGGGAGACTCATCCTCAGTAGTGTCATATAATCGACTATAATGGGCTTCTCATCTGCAATAGTTTTCAAAATAAAAACAACCACTTTCTAAACAATTTTTGGAACAAATTTTTGAACACAAATCAATTGTGGGCCAAAACAGTCTATTTTTAATACGGCCGTAGCTCAGTAAATGAGGGTGACAGCCGGGCAGCTATGCTGCAAAACGTAGTCAAGGGATCTTATTGAAACGTCTCAAAGTTCCTTTGGCTACTTGTTCAAAATACAAATATTTTTACTATGCATTTTTCGATAAAGTGACCTACAATTGATTTGGCATACAGGACATGAGCCCCGTCCCGATTGAGCCCCGTTGGTCTGAGCCCGGATTGAGCCCCGACCGAAGCCCCAATATCCAGAGCCCGGATTGAGCTCCGATCTGAGCCCCATTTGAGCCCGACTTAGCCTCGCGTCCTGAAATCGCCTTTTTGCATGATTCATTGCCACGGGGCTCAAGTAGGGGCTCGAACAGGGCTTAGGTCGGGACTCAATCCGGGCTCTGGATATTTGGGCTTCGGTCGGGGCTCAAATGGGGGTCAAAGTTGGAGCTCAGGTCGGGGCTCAGACCATCGGGGTTCAAACGGGACGGGGCTCATGTCCTGTACGCCATTGATTTTTTTACCTTAATGCTGTGGCAAGCAAACTTTCCACCGGTTGGCAGTGACAGAGAACTTGCCGCCTCGCGTTAACTCTGCGCGTTGCCCTGCCAGGACGTGACATTCTGGAGCACTCCGCCTCCGCCACGCACTGCGGCGCTGCTCTCCACTATGGCCAACTTGCGGGAGTTGTGCTGCCCCATGATGGCCGACATGCCGGCCATCCTGCAGTGCACGGAGTTGAAGGTGCTTCGGCTCACCGCGCGGCTGGACGATGCAACGAGGCCTTTCTTGCCTGGCGTGCTGAAGTTCCTCCGAGAGGCCGTGATGCACCTGGAGGACCTGACTCTCGACTTCTCCGTTGTTCCCCATCTCCAAGCCACGGACACTGTGCTCAGGCTGGGTGGGTCTGGAGACGCTGTCCCAGCTCTCAAGTCCCTCCAGTTTCAATTTCTGTGTGAGAAAGGTGTGTCACCTTCGCCCCCAGGCTACGAAACTGTACCGCTGCGCAATCTGGCAACTATCATCCACCGCTTGAAGAATCTTGTGCTCCTTGACTTAGACGGCCCGCTCCTTGATGACCTGCTGCATGAGCTGGACGGTGAAGTCCTTCCTCACCTGCAGGAGCTGCATTTCAACTTGCCTGAGCCATGCATGCACAAGTGGGCAAACAGGGAGCAAGTCCGTGCGGCCGTGCTGAGATGCCCACTGTTGCACTTGTCTGCGATGAGCAAGTCGGAAGAGGGAGCTTGCAGTTTTTGCCAGGGTTGCTGTCGACATGATAGCCACGTACGGCACTTTGTGTTCAGCCATCCAACGGAAGCGATCTGTGGTGTAACTCACTTCGACTCTGATATTCACATAAAATAATTTAATTTGGGTGGCATCGCGGCAAGCTCCCCCCTTCCAAAGAAAAACAAAACAAGGAAGTATTAAAGAATTTACATGGAGGAATGTTGGATGCCTCACTGATTCTTATTAGTTCTTAGACAACCCATTGTTTCTACTTTTGTATTGAGAATAAATTCTTATTAAATACTTATGTCGTGATTTTCCAGGCTCCTTTCAGATGGTTGTATTTGTATTTATTTGCGGTAAATTTACATTCAAGAGAATACATGAGGTTTACCTAAGTCATGATCACCTAATAACGGAACGTTCACCAATTACGGAAGGGCGATTTGGGGGGTTTTCGGCTCCCCTAAGGCCATGTAAAGCCCCCTGTGGGCAAAGTTTTGTTCCTTGGACAATCTTACTTAAGAGGACTGCTGTCTCAGCCACTTGGTGCAAAAATTGATTCGATGAGGCAAAATACCCAAATTCATGTTTTTAGTCCGAAAGTGTAACTTTGCTGGGCTATAACTCAGGCAGGACATATCTCAGCAGGACATAATAGTTTGGCTTTTGAAGTCTTTTTAGGGGCAACATGCCCTCAAAATATCAGGACGACCGGAGGGGGTCGTGGCACAGAGTGCCTTTTCTTAAATGAGATTTTACTCAGGGATGAGGCGGGGAAAGGATTTTTCCGAAGGGAGAGGGGGGGCGTTCGTCAAATAGGCAGGGTAGACAGCGCGCGGGAATGTGCATTGTCTCGACGGTGATGGCGATCGACGCCGTCGTGATCCTCGCAGTGGTTCACTCGCTTTCCTGCACTGCAAACCTAACTGTCTACTAAGTACACACTTACAAATGCATGCTTGCAAGTACACACACTGAGAAAACCTTACAAACTATTTTGGGCCTTACAAAGAAAAGTACTTTGTATAACAAAGTATTTTGAGCATACATAAGCTTACAAAGAAAATACTTCGTAATTTACGAACTATTTCTTCGTAAAACAAAGTATTTTAGTTTGTAACATGTATGCTCAAGATACTTCGTAAGGTTTTAAGAGTGCATTTTCTCGGCGGTGATAGTGATCGACGCCGTCGTGATCTTCGCAGTGGTTTACTCGTCTTTTCTGTGGCGCGACGATTCCATCTTCGTAACCGCGGGGCTTGGTTAGGAAGGGAAAGGATCATCCAGCATTACTTCTGAGTTGTATTTTCTGAGTGCGGCTGGTAAATGGTCTCAAGCAGTGAGCCTGCACCTGTACCCCACTTACTAGGGAGTCAAAAATGGCATTCTACGTGTAAAATCACAAGAGGAATCCGAACCTGGCCTCGAATGGGTCGTACCTCGACTCCGTCTACCTGTAACCGCACGTTTGAGCTTGATTTTCAAGCAATTTTCAGACTTTCTGGTTCGCAGTGTCCCCAAGCAAAACAAAATTACTTTTTCAGGGTTCAAACGGTGTCTCTGGTCCGACTTCAAAATTCCAATGCCCGAACTAAAGCGTGGCGTATGAGCCACGGTTTGACACGTCTACTGATCGTCAATGAACTGAACTGCTCATCATCTAATGCATCGCAAGTAGAAAAATCGATTTCCATCCCATTACCTGGCCAACAAAGCTGTATATCATTGTTATTCAAGGCACACACAAGGGCACGGTCATGGTTTTCGATCCACGGCCAAGGTCCAAGACGAACCCTGAGTCAGCCGCTTCTCCGACCAGACCTCTCTGCAATGTCAGTTACAGTCCTTCTGAGGCTCACCATAGTGACTCAGCTCTGCGTTTCCAATGTAGGGTCAGGGCGGGGAAGAACTGGACGTTTTGCAATCTTTCTCGATTTTGACTCTAATTGACTATCTTTAGCCAATGTATCCGTTGGGTCTGTTGATCGAGCCTCAAAGAAAGACATTTCAACCCTCAGCGAGTGCGTTTGCGGCTTCATTCAGTAATAAATGAGAAAAAACAGTGTGCGATTCTTCCCCGTCGAAACGGGGAAAAATCGAACACCTAAGGGGAAAAATCGGACATAGGCTTTAATTTAACAAAAATCTATGAAAGTAGGTCAGAAATCTCTTGGGAACGATATTTGGGGGTAACACTTGCGATACCCAATGAAGCAGGCGCACGAGTATTCCTAGGTAGACAGAAATCATCGTAGCATTGTTAGGGGGTCCGTGGCGGCACGTTTTTGAGGTTAAATGACCAAAATGTATGAAATCGTCAACAGCCGTGTTTGTTTTCCCACTAAATGTTGGAAAATGCTAAAATACATTTGTTACGACCACTTTGGTGGGATGTTAGGGCAATTTATCGATTATTATAGAAAAAAGATGTGTTCGATTTTTCCCCGCACCAGTGTACGGTTTTTCCCCGTTTCGTATTTAACCCTTCATATGGAATCCAGCTGGAAATCTGCTAAAACATTTCAACGTATCTTGGGCTCCGAACTTCCAACTTTCGTTTACAATAAGAATATTCGTCACAGTAGGCTCGGAAAGTCGTTAAAAAGAGATATTGCGGGCACCAACTTTGAAAGTTTTTAAGGTGTTTTAAACGAGACCTCGTTTAAAGGTGACTTTGAATACTTTCCGGTTCAAGTAGGCTAAATTCCTCTTAAACGCAATCTAGCAGATCATCAATAAGCAATACTGAATACTTTGCACGTCCCAAAACTGGTAAATCTGTGGCGAAAGTGCGGTGTGCGTTTCTTCCCCAACTTGCAGGTGTCCGGTTTTTCCCCGCCCTGACCCTAGCTGTTGGCTGGTTGGAATCAAAGTACGGCAAGTCACGGAGAACTGAAATAGTCACAGCACTCCGAAGAGCCCATTTCGCTTTTTCTGCGTAATACGAAACAAAAAGTTAGCTTTATGAAAGTAGCAAAGGTAAAAATTATCAGTAATTTATGATCAGTCTCTTCACTGCACTCTAAATGTCTTACAATGAAATTTGACGTATGTTTTTCGTATGTTACGGTGAATTCGGCGCAAGCATAATACGAAGCAATATTCCTTCGTAATACGAATCTTTTTAGCTTTTTCATTGTGAGATATAAAGAAAAACCTTTGCAATACGAAGAAAAACTACCTTCGTATTATGCTTGCTCCATTTCCTTCGTATTATGGGAAATTTCTTCGTAAGACATTTAGAGTGTGGAACATTGAAGGCATAAACGTTACGCTCTTAAGGGAATACACTTTTTTGCCCTTTAATGCCCTTCCAAAAGGCATTAACGATTCACGCCACTCCAAACTTTGGCATTTTGAGTGCACGGCATTTCTTAAGTAGGGCATGAGAGTAACTTGGCATGTATACTCCTATAGATGTTTACTTCCCAAGTACACTCCTATAGATGTATACTAAGTACACAGTGGATTTTGTAGTGTGATGGCATCTGCCGTTAACACCACCATCTAGAAGTTCATTTCGAGATTTTGCGATTGCAGGAATTCTTCCGAGGCGCACTTCTTCGAGTTCCTCGGAGTGCTGGCAACGCATTACCGAGACCTGTCACCGAAAAGCCACAGCGCTGTCGCCCTGTGCGTCGACTGGGAGACGCACCGGCCCTGGATGCCCGCGCACCTGAACTACGTGCCGCTCATGCTGCTGTGCCCGGGTTCCAAGGTGCCACCGGGCACAGCGGCGGGCTTCATGGTGGTGGCGGCAGCGCGGCGAGTGCTGCAGGTCCTGTCGGGGATTCGGCCAATTCCCTCAGCACTGCACTGGTCCGCAGGCAAGGGGAAATAATTCCAGCCAAATTTGTACACAGAAATTCATCAAACTTGTAAAATTCATCAAAATTCATCGATATTTGATTGAAATTCATCAAAATTTGACTAAATTTCATCTAATTTCGACTAAAATTCATCGAATTTAGACTGATTTCCATCGAAATGTGACTGAAATTCATCGAAATTTGACTGAAATTCATCGGAATTGTTCACTGAAATTCAGTCGTTATTTCCCCTTGTCCACAGGCATGACCATCGTGGTGCGTGTGGACGAGAGCGCCGATCCAACTTCTATGCAGCCCTTGGTCCCCGAGCTGATCGCTGCAGTGTGGTCGAAGTCCTGGCGACGCTTCACCGTGGCGGTGGCGGGCCGCGAGTCCGCCACCCTACACCGTGGCACCCTTTGCCAACGCGTCCGGTGTGTGCGGCAGTCGCGCGCCAGCCGCTCCGGCCGCCGCCACGGTCCGCCTGGACCAGATCTCGCTCGAGTCGATCCGCACCATCCTCCACGACTCCGCTGTCCCCCCACGCGACCTCGGCGGGTGCATCCTTCGCGCCAACCTCATCGTTAGGCAGGAACGCGACTGTGACATCAGCGCCGAGCCGAGAATGTCCACGGAGGCGAAGGTCTCCAAGGCCATCATGAACACCATGGCGCGGTACAGGAACGTCAGCGTGGAGTGGCGCACCACTCTTGAGACGGCACTCGACTTCCAGAACGGCACCTACTCCGACGCGCTGGCCGGGCTCGGCCGGGACTCTGACGTGGTCCTGGGGGGCATTTTCATGACGCAGGACAGGTTGCGGTCCTGGGGGGCCACCGTGCCGTTCGCACACGTGCCCGTGGTGGTCGTGGCCCGCTGCCCGGACTCGGGTGAGGAGGGACCGCACGTCTGGGAAGTGGTGCTCCGCAACCTGGTCCAGCCCGGCGCTGGGCTGGCGACCACCTGCACGTTGGTGGTCGGTTCCGCGGTCACCGTTGCCCTGCGCGTGGCCATTGCGTCTGTCACGGTGAACCGCGGGGGAGGCTGGTGGTCGTCCGCGATCTCAGCAGCTCTCCTGGACCAGTGGGCCAAAGTCTTCGAAGTGCCCGCACCGGTGTCCCGCCTCTTGCCGGACGTGTGGTCCGGCCGCGCTCTCACCGGCGCGTGGCTGCTGTACATTCTCAACTTCAACGTGGTCTTCAAGGGTCTGCCCTTCACCGAAAGCGCCGTTCGGACATCAGCGCCGTACCCAAGGACAGTCCGTGAACTGGCCAACGCCGTGCCGGACCTCGCGGTGGGCATCGCGGGCAGCAGGTTGCGTGGAATCTTGGAAAGAGCAAAATCAACTAAGACGGACCACTTCTTCCGGTGACCCTCTCCGATTTGCCTGATTTTTTGTAGGCTTAATAACTCACTAAAGGAGAGTCTAAAACTAAAATATTAGGTCCGGCAAAAATTTATTGCCCGAGATATGGCCAACTTTAGTTTAACTTTT